ATCTGCACACCCCATTCCCTTTCCAAATCCCGCTTGCACATCCCAAATTTTTTCATCAGTTTCTTTCATAACTCTTTCAATTAGTACCTTAGCATACAGTTTTCCCACAATGCTAAGAAGGCTGATACCACGGTAGTTTTTACAGTCCTGCTCCCTTTTCTCTTATATATTGGGACTATCACGGCTTTGCACCAGTCTCCCGGTACCCGCTTTAGTTCCCAACATAAATTAAACAAGGTGTACAGCAGGCCTGCCACCACGTCCTCTCCAGCCCTTAGCATTTCGAGTGAAACTCTATCATATCCGGCTGCCTTACCTACTTTCATGCTTTTCATTGCTTTCATTATTTCATCTATACTTATCTCCATATCTCTTTCATCTTCTTTCGAAATTTCTATTTCATTTAGCTCATACGTCTCCTCACTCATAAATACTCTTTCAAAATATTCCTTCCATCTCTTTAGACTTAACACTTCATCATTCAGAATACAGCCATTCTCGTCTCGTATCGCATTCAATCTAGGCCGTTTTGAATGTCCCCTGGTATTTCTTACGAGTTTCCAGAACATTTTAATATTTGCCTGGAAGTTCTCCGATATTCTTATATCATTCTTATCCGTTCTTTCTTGCTTTTTCCTTTCAACTAATTCTCTTACTCTCTTATTTAGACGTTTAAACTCTGGCTTTTTTCTTTCAATCTCATCATTCTTACCGCCAGAATTACCAACTTTCGTCGCTAGTAAATCTAGCCATGCTCTCTTCTTTGCTTCAACTTCCATACGTACATAACGTTTCTTCTCTTACTAACACCACATACTTCGGTAGCTGCATCCACCAAACCTTCCTTAACATTATGCCACACATTCTCCAAGTCTAACTCATTCACACACAACTCATCCAGATTATTTATATTTTCTCTCAGTCTACATTTGTACTTGTCTTTCACATCTTCATCTTGTAACCTCTCAATTCCGTCCGATGCCCAATGTCCGATGCTGCCAACGTCTGAATAAACCCCTAATTCAGCATAAGACCAGGTAGTGGTCCGTCCCTACGTTGGACCCCCGGTAAACCCTTGTATCCACCACTGCGCTCCTCATTCTTTCATCCACAGTTATGAAATCTATCATGCTTTTATCATCACCTTTTTCCCAAGTATACATGTGAATCTTCTTATGACGAAAGAAAGTGTTCGTCACAAAAAGATTCCTTTCCACAAATACGGTGAGGAGGCTTTCACCATTCTCATCAATACTTTCATCACCAAACGTTCCCCGTATCCTTTCATAGCCAAGCCTCCTCACCCCAACCCTTCCATTAAAATCTGCTAACATAACAATATTTTAATTTTCCTTACATTTCATTAACACCGTCCTTACCATCTCCCAAAACTGCTCTCGGATATAAGTGGGCTTAGACATGTCTGGGGCGTAGACCCCTAGAACAAACAACTTCTTTAGGCCCTCATATTCGTATCCATAGCAGTCTCGGGATTACACATTCGTACTCTTTCACACATTGACCCATTCTTTCTGAAAGGATGACACCGACTCCCTGGCATGCTCGCTCGGTCTCGTCTACACCGGACCAGTACGCGGTATATATGCCATGTGTATGTGCCATCCTTTCCCTTCCGCTTCGTCTCATTTACACATAACACATCTATTCCTCTATCATACATCATATCGCATACTTCATCCATCTTATAGTTCATTGCTCCACATACATTCAGCGTAGCTAGACGGACCTCCGCAATCCTCTTTTCGCCCCTCCGGGAGACAGAACGTGACGGGTGGCGAACCTCGTCGCCGGTTTTCCTCCCGGAGATTCTTCGCACCCCTGCCCCATTAAAGGGGCGCCGGGAACTCGGGACCATTTCTTTTCCTCATGGAGCGAAAACTAGGGGGTGGTATATTTTACGCCGTTACCACACGGCGAGTAGCCGACTCTGTTCTTTCGGCTTTGTCACTCTTTTAGCACCACCCGGGGGAAACGTGTAGGGTGGGCCTAGGATTAGGTGATCGAAGCCTACGGACGCGAGCGACTTATCCCCCCCGAGCGACTTTACTCGAAGTTTTACTTTAAAGTTTGTTTGTTTTAAGTTTGGTTGTTTGTTTAAAGTTGAAGTTTTACTTTACTTTCGAAGTTGGACTTAGTCGGATAATTTATCCTAGGTAAATTTACTCTTTAGTAACTTTCGAGTGTAATGCTCCTGACAACTACCAAGAACGTAAGTACATTCATATATATCTTATGATTTACGAAACTGCTGTGAAGCTTCGTGTCAGTTCAGATCTCCAAGTTTCCCATTGATCGGCGAAGCCGTCAATCCCAAACATCGTTTATACCAAACTTGGCTTCTTTTTAGCGTTTTGTTTTTATGGGGATACCTAACATAAATTTTTGAAATAAAGTGTTACCCTTTTTACAATCATAATAAATACATGATCTTAAGCCCCGGACTCTACCAAAGCGGAGACGTGCGAAGACGTCCAAAGCGGTGACGAGAAGAGATGTTTTTCAACTAAAGAATTCCCCCATCTATATTACACGTGGTAGAGCCTCGCTGCAGCTATATTATGGCTGCAGCACGAATGAGTCCACACGACCAGGGAAGGACCACGCTCTCAAATACCAGCGTAAAATAGCAGCTTAATACCGCTATGTTTCGTATGGTGAGTGTAGAGATCCGGAGACCCTTTTTTACTGGAAACGAGGCATTCCATCTTAATCCTCAAAGGTAAACCTATATTTTGATTAACATTTAAATTTAGATGTCTATGGGCCACAATATTCATTTACCATCGTAAGCTAAGACTAAGTTTGTGCCAATAAAATTTATTTAAAATTAATTGTAATCGTACCAACAAAATAGTTTCAAGCTATTCGACTACTGGCCTGAACCACTCGTAACACAAGCAATTTAAGCTTACCACGAGTGGTTAAGGGGAATATTAGTAGTGTTTATAGCATTGTTAATATTATTTTTTTAAATATAAAATTTTGTGAATTTAAACAACTGTTGTGTCTTTTATAATAATAATAGGTCCTTTCGTATGAAATTGGCGTTTTGTACGGGAGGAATATAAAGACAATTTTTTTTGTAAAATATATTTAATTAATCAAAGTATGCACCGTTGTTATCTATGCACTTTTACCATCTCATAGGTAGTTCATCGATCCCTTTATTATAAAAACCATGGGGGCGAGAATCAATAAACTCTTTGAAGGCGGTTTGGATTGCCGCATCGGAGTTAAATTTTTTTCCTTGTAAGAAGTTGTCCGAAATCCGGAAAAAATGGTAATATGTTGGAGCAAGGCCCGGTTAGTACGGTGGATGTCGCAGACATTCCAATTGTAGCTCAATTAACTTAGTGGTTGTTTGTTGTGCAGTGTGTGATCTTGCGTTGCCGTGAAGCAGCTGTGGCCTAGAGCGATTGACCAATCTCGGTTGTTTAGCAGCTAGTTCTTCCTTCATGGTTTGCAATTGCTGACAACAGATATCTGCCGTAATCGTTTGGCCGGATTTTAGAAAGCTGTAGTGAACGACACCGGAGCTAGCAGCTATCTCTAAAGTGCTTTGTGGTGGCTCCGCTTCCACAATAGCCTTTAATTCTTTATTTTGCACTTTGATCCCAGCCGTCTAAAGGGTTGGTTTTGAAGGTCAAAATTTCCAGAACGAAAACGTTGAAACCAAAAACATACCGTGCTTTCTTTTGCGACACCAGCGCCGTACACATCATTAATCCTTCGAGCTGTTTCTGCAGCACTGGTGCCGCGGTAGAACTCGTACTCGTAAATATACCGATATTTCATGTTTTCCATTGTGCGGTAATAAGCGACGCAAAAGAAAAAAATAATGAGGAAAAAACAAATGAATGACTGTTTTCAAAACTCAAATGTACCAGCTAAATGAATTTATAAATTTGAATTTGGAATTCTTAACCAAAGAGGAGATATTTCAGATCAAAGTGGTCAGTACGACAAAACGCTAATTTCATATGTAAGGACCCAATATTACAACAGGACCATTTGAAGAAATGTCATGATGAAACAAAAGAAAATGCCTTTGTACTAACTTTTTGTTTTATTATGTCATCTCAATTGTTTACCACAAAGTACAGTCCTGAACCCTGAAACCTGTCGCCTTGCAAGTTAAATAAATTTATATTTGAATTTTATTATTGTATAATCAAAAGTAAGAGAAGAAGAACCTTTCAGTGTTTACCTACTTTCAAAATATTTAATAATGTAATTGTATACCTGTCTCTTTCTAATGTAATTTAGTGAAAATAGAACGAGAGAGCAACTGAGAATTTCACACTCATAATATACTAATAGAATAGTATTCCATCATCGTCACTGCATCTGCGTAGAATGAGTGCCTCATTACCCCTTCCAATTCTCAATTCGCCACGCCTCCTGCTACACTATTGTTGAAATAACAAACGTAGATTTCCATCTTAATTATTTGTCAGTTTCGTTTAATTATTGCTAAAATAATATACCGAGGAGAATAGGTCTTTTAAGTGAATAGCGTGTGCAATTTAGGGAGAAGACACGGAAAAACCATTTAATTTTATTTTGTAACTTTACAACCCCCACGAGGTTTAAAAGGCGCGGCTTTACTGTTGATTGGGTATATTCAAGTGTGTAATCTAGAGATACTTTAGAAAGTCCAGGCGCTTTCCCTGCCGACTTGCAGACAGCCAACTAGCGGGTTACACCGATGATATGCAGGTCGGCTGGTTGTGATAGCCGATGGTATAGTTCACGCCGACTGTTATCAGTAGCTAGTGGGTAAATCCTGATGTTCCAGACATCAATTTAATTAAGCGATAATCAACGATTACAAGTAAAAACGACAATATTTTATGGCAATATGTCTATTAACATTTTTTATTTTTATTTATTTTTATATATTATTAATTATAATAAGTATATATTATTTAATTAAATAAGAATTTTATTTATATGTAATCTTATTCTTAAACATAATTCTATGCAACTGGCTTAACATTGTCCTTTTCTTCCGCATTTTCTTGGATATTGGCAATGTTTGGTTTCTTAACTGTACTTGTCTTCCTCTTTTTACCATACGGCAACACTGGCTCACTGTGGCTGATTAAACTGGCAGAGGATATAAACACAGATACTTGCTCTGGTGTGGGACAAGCAACTATAAGCTTATCTTCGTATGAATATCCAGCATTGTTAAGAGTTTGTTCAACTTGCATGAAATATCCAACAACATTATTCTGAAAATAAAATATCAACGGTCAATGTCGGGAAAACTGAAATTGTATATATATATACTGTGTGACCTTTTTTACCGTCTAGAAAAAAATAGGGTGTAACATGTGAACGGAGTAGAAGCCTATGGCACTGATATTTTACAAAAAATAAAAACAAAAAATTTGAATGAAACGTTAGAAAAACTTTTTGGAACAATTACTTTGCCTTTGAGACTGTGACCCTGCGAAGTGACAAGGTCAAAGTAGGGTGGATATGATTTGAATTTCGATAGATTTTAATTAGTTCATTTTATTTATTTTTGTAAAATATCAGTGCCATAGGCTTCTACTCCGTTCACATGTTAAACCCTATTTTTTCGAGACGGTAAAAAAGGTCATCCAGTATATATATAAACGATCATGATTATAGATCATAACGGTCTACAGCCCCGCCTGATTTTGCCATAGTCACCACACGTAGTCTAGCAAACGCTGTATTTTATTATTTTGAGTTGTTATCAGGAAGATGTTGCTGCCTATCCAGTTTCAGTTTCCCTGTGCTGCCTCTTATTCTACCCCACATCATGTCATGTGTCGACATGATGTGGGGTAGAATTTCTTACGCCGCCACTACGCCTCCTGAACAACTACTGGATAAAAATGATAGTAAATTATATTTTCGCTATTTGTCACTGCCATTAGTATTTTTAATAGGTCCTTACATACGAAATTAGCGATTTGTACGGGAGGAATATAGTCAATTTTTTTTGTAAAATATATTTAATTAAAGTATACACCGTTGTTATCTATGCACTTTTGCCATCTCATAGGTAATGATTTCTTATATTTACGCGAACACTATACATTGATTAAAACTACTTTTACGAATTTTATCGCGTTTATTTTACTATTATTTTTATTCCCGACGTTTCGGGCGCTTTCCAGCATCCATGGTCACGGGGGACTGAGATTACTGACGTCCCGATGTCATTGTTAAACCCGGAGTACCTTCAGCTTTTTTAATTATTGTTTATGGTCCGATCTATGCAAAATGAACTGACTATGTCCTAATGCTTGTGTTTAGTTTTAATTTTATTGATTATATGATCCCAAGCAGGTGGTAGTACCCAGCCTCCTTCTCTATTGAAATTAGGATGTTTTTTAATTTCAATAGCCTCACGTATCATCCTTGGTAGGAATCGGTGTTCTTTCGCGAGGATTTGTGGTCTATCAAATCTGATGTAATGGTTGGGGCCGTCTAGGATATGATTACAAACTGCAGACTTCCCGGAACATTGATGCTTCACATCAGCTATATGTTCTTTTACGCGGGTTCTAATTGATCTTTTTGTTTGTCCTATATAAGAGAAACCACATTCACAATCAAGCTTGTACACTCCTGCTTTGTAGAGGAATATGACACTTGACTGATAGTAGGAACTAACTATCTTCTTCGGCGCCTTGTAGAATGTTCTAATAGCAGCTCGCTTCAAGATATAGCCAATCTTGTCTGTGACACCTCTGACATATGGCAGTACAACAGGCACACGTTCGACTGAAGCCGGCCACAGTAAAATATATACACAGTAAATAATAGTAAAATAAACGCGATAAAATCCGTAAAAGTAGTTTTAATCAATCTCATAGGTAGTTCATTGATCTCTTTACTAAAAACCACGGGGGCGAGAATCAATAAACTCTTTGAAGGCGCTTTGGACTGCCGCATCGGAGTTGATATTTTTTCCTTGTAAGAAGTTGTCCGAATTCCGTAAAAAATGGTAATCTGTTGGAGCAAGGTCCGGGAATTACGGTGAATTCGCATACATTCCAATTGTAGCTCATCTAACTTAATGGTTGTTTGATGTGCAGTGTGTGGTCTTGCGTTGTCGTGAAGCAGCAGTGGCCTAGAGGATTGACCAATATCAGTTGTTTAGCACCTAGTTCTTCCTTCATGGTTTGCAGTTGCTGACAAAAGATATCTGCCGTAATCGTTTGGCCAGATTTTAGAAAGCTGTAGTGAACGACACCGGAGCTAGTCCACCAAACAATCACAAGTAACCTTTTCTGAGTAAATTTTCGTTTTGGCTGGGTCTCCAGGGTTGAGCCATTGCAACGAGCGCTTCCGATTATCTACAGTATCCATTTTTCATCACAAGTAATGATTCGATTTAAAATCCCTTCATTTTTGTGTCGGTTGAGCAGAGTAACACAGCAGTCGACGCGTGTTTGCAACTTCGATTCACTCAATTCATGAGGTACCCCCATCGATCAAGTTTTTTTACTTTCCAGATTTGCTTTAAGTGGACTAATACAATTTTATCACTTATCCCGAAGCCTGCAGCTATCTCTGAAGAGCTTTGTGATGGATCCACTTCCACAATAGCCTTTAATTCTTCATTTTTCACTTTGGTCTCCGATCGTCCACGGAGTTGGTTCTGAAGGTCGAAATTTCCAGAACGAAAACGTTGAAACCAAAAACGTACCGTGCTTTCTTTTGCGACAACAGCGCCGTACACATCATTAATCGTTCGAGCTGTTTCTGCAGCACTGGTGCCACGGTAGAACTCGTACTCGAAAATATACCGATATTTCATGTTTTCCATTGTGCGGTAATAAACGACGCCAAAGAGAAAAATAATGAGGAAAAAACAAATGAATGACTGTTTTCAAAACTCAAATGTACCACAGCTAAATTAATTTATAAATTTGAATTTGGAATTCTTAACCAAAGAGGAGATATTTCAGATCAAAGTGGTCAGTACGACAAAACGCTAATTTCATATGTAATAAGGACCCAATATTTATTACATAATATAATATTATGGTATGTTTTATCAGAAAATTTTATTTCTCAGACATACCGGTTTTTCCACGATTTTTTCTTCACCGCTGAGCATATGTAGCAAGTGCTAAAATGCTGATTTATCATGTAACTAATTTACTAAGTGACTTGACACTTCATCATACATACAAGTGGTAAAATTAAAAAAATTGTTCAACCGATTTTAATATAAATAAAATGAGAACATCATCAATGTAGTCGAAGTCAATTAAATACGCATTATTAAGAATATCTGAAAAACTACTGGTCAGATCTTGATCAAATTTATATGGGACCACGTGAAAAGCATCACTATAGAAACACCAGCTCTCAAATAAAAAATAATCACCTAGAAAAAATTCTGAGGTAACACACATAAAATATAGTCGAATTGAGTACCTCCTCCTTTTTAAAGTCGGTTAAAATAGTGATTTACAATTTGATTGGTAGCCGTGTTGCTCGCGTACTGATAAATTTACAGCGAGCGCTTAGCACCCGAGCTACCACAAGTAAGTCCCGTTGACTATTTTGACCTATTAACTCGTGTGGAGATTGTATCAAGGAGCACCAGGTTTGTTAGATGGCACTATAGATACTTCCTAGAAAGAGACCGTGAGAAAGCACTTGTGTTCCTTCCTAAGTTTTATAATACTTTGCTGTCATTGCTCTGGGTGTTTTACATTTGGCGTATATGAGATTTCTATCGCGTAGTATAAGACTGTGTTAATACTAGGGTCGTGTTGGAAAACCACAAAAGGTGTACTGTGTACTCGTTATTTACACTTACTTCGATGAAAAAACCCTTCTGTAAGTTATTATGAGACTTATGAAATGAAAAGAGAGGAAATAGATACAGTCACTAAACAGACACAACGAGATTATGTATTTTACACAAACTTTGCCATGATATGCACATAATGATGTCTTATATTTACGCGAACACTACACATTGATTAAAACTACTTTTATGGATATTATCGCGTTTATTTTACTTTTAATTACTTTTATTTTTAATTCCCGACATTTCGGGCGCTTTCCAGCAGCCATGGTCACGGGGGACTGAGATGACTGACGTCCCGATGTCATTGTTAAACCCGGAGTACCTTCAGCTTTTTTAATTATTGTTTATGGTCCGATCTATGCAAAATTAACTGACTATGTCCTGAGTTCAAAATTTATGCTTTTTTTAAAGATTTTTAATGAAAATGGAGGATAATAGTTTTCCTTGTGATGAATTGAAGTATGTTAAAGTGATAATCGGAGAGGAAATCTTTAAACTTTAGGTTAAGAGTGTATTTCAGACTTATCAATTATCGCAATTAAAAACAGTTATTGGTACAATTAAAACGTTCACCAACATTTACGTGGACGTAATTAAATCTTTCCATAAGAAAGCGAGACGATTCCACTTATCTTATCTTATCTCTTATCCATTAGAATGTAAATAATTTTTTTTTTAATTTTGTACATTGTTTGTACTTTGTTCGTGTTTTAGTTTTGTTCATGTATTATATTGGATGTAAATATTTTTTTTCTTTTCAACGGTTTTCTTCAAAGCCACCGAAGCTATGCAATTGCTGATATGTAATACAATCTATCTAGCAGTGGTATGCCTTCTGTGTGCTTTGTTAAACACGTCCTTGACAGCACTGAATATGAAACTGAAGCGTGGAGACAGATAAAGATTGGTGTATTTTTATAAAACTGCTAAAAACAACAATCTATATTTTTATCAATTTATATCTTGGGCTTGCCCCAGCTTGGAGCTCTAGCTTCGACACTGAGCACACCACCCATCGGGATGCGCAGAGGTTGATGCATAAGTCTGAGTTATCAACACACTTCCAATCTTTACAATGTTACAAGACTTGTGAACGATAACGATGACCTAAATTGGTCTAAATAGCTAGATTATATTCTTTCTAATCATACATTTAAATACACTGCTGGAGATGCATATGGCGGTGTAAGAATATTCACTACCCCACATCATCCTGAAGCGACAGAGGGAAACAAATCAGGAGATGGGCAGCAGCGTGTTCCTGATGACTAAAGAATAAAAGCTGCGGTTAGAAAACCGCTATGGTAAATATCCTCCCTATGAGGCGATCTATGGGGGAGACATGTTCATCAGTGGGCCTTAATAGGCTGTAACGATAACGGTAATTATACATACCCGAATTGGTCTAAACAGAATAAACTCAGTCTCCTTATTAGCTAAGTATAATTGCATAGAGCGCTGGAGAGGTGCGAGATGAGTTTTTATCCTCTTCTGTGCCTCCTTCACAGCTACTGCCATTTCTTCAGGTGTCGCCCAAGGTTGGGTTTTCAATTGTTCAACTGGAGTAAATGCTTGAACCTAAGAACAATAGTTGCTATAAATTATGTAATTAAATAAAGTAATATTATAATCTTTATCCCAGTTATAATTTTCTCTTGCTTTTGATAAGATATCTAATCAAATATATAAAGTGTCTGTTTGTAATGTCAATATACCCGCTTTTCGTCAAAATAAAAGTATATACACGGTATTTATAACAAAAACATAATTTTTAAAATTTTTGTCTGTCTGTCTGTTTGTTCCAGCTAATCTCCAAAACGGCTGGACCCATAGTACTATAATACACAATAGAATGGCTGTCAACCTTATTTCGTACGAGGATCGGCGTTGCCGGGAGCACACATACAAGCAATTACGTCGTATTATTACTACTATAGACCTGACTCGCTATGTTGACAGACGTATTTACTAATTTAAACATTTTAGACTTGATTTATGTTCATCATTCATCATTTAAAAAAAAACTTTAAATTTTAATACATATTTATTTGTAAAGTGTGCAATTTGGAATTTTCTAAATAATTTGCACGCAAAATTTGGAAACGATTGTAACGTCAAAACATATCTTGTGTTGACATTTATACGTGTGAATTGACATGTTAGTGACATTTTAGTGGCTGCACGGGCTCCGCCCACTCCCCCGTTCTATTACGTATGTATTATAGTATTCTATGGCTAGACCTACTGTGACGGGCCTTTCACTGGCAGATAGCAGATGTTATAAGGAGTAACCTGGGTCACTTTAATTTAGTAAAAGAATTAGGGTGCGGAGCCCTAAAAATTAGAACCGCACAAAGCGGCAAAAAGAAAATTAAAATCCTAAATTACACGCGGGCGAAGTCGCGGAGAACAGCTAGTTAAAATCTTTTTTGGTTGAAATGACAACCTGATAAAATATGCATATATTTATCTTAAAAACGAAATAAATGCAGCTCACCTTCTCAGTGAATTCTATAAGGGGTCCTGCTAATATTTCCGTCGCATGCTTTATGAACGTCTCGCAACAATTCTTCAACTGTCTGTCCACCTCCTTCCTGGAGTCAAGTAAATGTTCCTTCACCATGGGTGTCCCTTCCAACAAAAACTCAAGCAATGCGTTGTTGCTATTAAGCGAGAATATTTGTCGAGGCCTCTGTATTAGACCGTAAGCCGCATTTTTCACATTACTGAAGTCTAATGTGGTCTCTTTTATAACGAAGTCCACTTGGAACGGAGCAATCTGTTCTCTTAAAATAAGCAAATGTTTTATTTGGAATAACTCTCCGTCAATGTTTGTTTTATTAGCTGAGATCTGTTTAGCGGCGTTGTCGACGCTTTGGACACACAAAGAGATAGCCTCTTGTGCTAAACCCTGAAAGACTCTCTTTTCTAAACATCGATATAGTCTAGATAGTGCAGCTAAGGTTCTTCTCACACCTGGATACCACATTCCATGCAAATCTGCCGGGGAAGCTTGCGGTCTTCTCTGGGCTTCGACGTTGATATTGGCAACTTCTTGTGAAGTTGCTGACACGTCCGATATCATAGAGTTACGGGAATCGCTACGTTTTAGGCTTTGTTCTTGAATTGATATGGCGATTTGCTGTAAAGATACAACCTTCAAATTAATTTTTATATTTTAAATATTATTTTGAGTGATATTTAAACTATACATATAAATAAAATTGAAGTATCAGTCTATCATATTGGAATATGCCCTTTATTAAGCTCAGGGGTTATTGGCGTGTCATTTAGACATGATTTACCATTCCCAAAATGTTTGCTTGTCTCCGCCTGTCTGCCTGTCTGTCTGCCCGAGCTAATCTTCGGAATGGCTGAACCGGTTGTGATGAAACCTCACGAACAGACAGAGCGCAATGTCAAGAATTATCTAGGCTATATTTTTTTTTCAACAAACTTGATAATATAAATGATCTTATAAGATTATCTCAAATCTAAATGACACATTATTGGATCCAACTTAGGCGAAGCCGTGGCAAGTTGCTTGTATTAGTTTTCTATTCGTTTCGTGTGGCGAAGTCAGCAAATGCTTGGGATGTCTACATAAAGGGAGATGTACATATCTACACTGCCTGTAAAGGGTTATTACGGGCTTGTGAGAATAAAGATGCGCGAAAGTATTTACTTTTCAAAATCGGTGTAGAACTTAGTTTTGCGTTGCTCATAGAACACCAGTGTAAAATAGCCGCATAATACTGGTATATTTTTGTATAGTGAGTAAAGAACCTCTTTACTGGTAATGAGCGTGAGTGCATAAGACAATTGTGAGCTACAATGATTACATAAGAACTTTTCAGGGTATGCGAGGTTGCCAGACCTGACTGGTGCAGAGATGCTGTGGTAAGCATCGACTAAAGACGGCCTACGTACGTATTTGTGCGTGTATGCGTGGGTGCGTGTGTATAAACGTGCAATCTATATCGCGCGTACGCCGTCGGCCTCCATCTTATACTGTTTGCGTATTTTTAAAAGACCGGCAAAGCACCCAGTTATTCATGGTTCAACTTTTTTCGTATTTGCCTAAAAACAGTAACTGTCGGAAATGATAATACAACTGTGTCACATATTTACCTTGCTAGCTAACGCCCAGCCGACGCTTGCGCGGTCCAAAGCTGTGACACATATTTTGTTTTGAATTGCCGGTTCAGTAGTATTCATAAATGTCTTTGACGTTTTGGTGTATTGTGTGCATGTGTGCGTGCACACGTACTTCCATCATCTGCAGCTTGTCGGGGTAGGCGAGGTCACCGGGCGCGGGACGGTACAGCAGCACGTCCAGACGCATGTGCACGTGCGCGCGGAACACCGAGCCACTTCTGCATGTCCTGCAGTAATGTGCGTGTGTGTGTGTGTGGCGTGTGTGTGTGTGTGTGTGTGTGTGTGTGTGTGTGTGTGTGTGTGTGTGTGCGCGTGCGTGTGTGCATGCGCACGTATCGCCATCATCTGCAACTTGCCGTTGCACGTTGTGGCGCAGGTGCACGTGCGCGCGGAACACGAGCCGTTCCTGCACGTCCTGCAGCAATGTGCGTGTGTGCGTGCGCACGTACCTCCATCATCTGCAGCTTGTCGGGGTAGGCGAGGTCACCGGGCGCGGGGCGGTACAGCAGCACGTTGTGGCGCAGGTGCACGTGCGCGCGGAACACGAGCCGTTCCTGCGCGTCCTGCAGCAATGTGCGTGTGTGCGTGCGCACGTACCTCCATCATCTGCAGCTTGTCGGGGTAGGCGAGGTCACCGGGCGCGGGGCGGTACAGCAGCACGTCGTGGCGCAGGTGCACGTGCGCGCGGAACACGAGCCGTTCCTGCGCGTCCTGCAGCAATGCTCGCGCAGCTTGCCCCAGCGCGTGTAACGCCGCTGCAACACGACACTACGTGATTCCCCACATGCTAGCGATTACCAGTTTTCCACTTCCTTCCCGCCTAGCGGGATGATCCAAGGTCGTTAATGCAAAAATGAACGAAATCAATGCTATCAGTCAATCACGTGACTCTCACATCATTATATATAAGATTAATTATTCTTAGACAATCTCGAGTTTGAACTCGAAATTCCACAATTTCAAAATTTGAATCTATTCCATACTATACTACCGTACTGTAGATAAATAATAATTGTAGCACGAATGGGTTAAATACCACGCTTTTCCAAAACACCAGCGTGAAATGGCAACTTAATGCTGCTCTTTTATATGGAGAATGTAGAGATCCGGGGATCCTTTATATCCTGATAATGAACTTTATATATTGACAACGTATTTGCATTTTGAATATTTATTATATAATATAACAATAACAATTCAATTCAGTGAACATCTGTGTCTGAATCTGAACTAAATAACTTAATATCTGTGTTTCAGACAGCAGCGCTCTTCCCTTAATGATTATACATTTGTATCATTTTACTGTATACAAGACATATCATTAATCAATTAGAAATTTAGAGTTGTAGACGGTAGGTAATAATAATAGTGTTGAGTGTAGGTAATATTGGGAATAGTTTAAGATACATACATATTCATATGTGGTAGAGCCACGCTGCAGCTATATTACGGTTGTAGATGGGTCGGCTCGACCCAGAAAGGACGACGCTATCTCAGAATACCAGCGTAAATTAGCAGCTTAATGCTGCTGTGTTTTGTATGGTGAGTGTAGAGATCCGGAGACCCTTTTTTTACTGAAAACTAGGCATTCCATCTTAGTCCTCAAGAGTGAAAACGCATCTGCGTTTTGATTCTTAATCGAGGATAAATGTAGATGTCTATGGGCCACAGTATCCACTTACTATCAGGTGGACTGTGTGCTCGTTAGCAACTCTTGTTCTTTAAATAAATAAAATTATGGCATTGCGGAATTTGAGTTTTTAAACTCGATATTATCACAAAATTCCGTCCTTAGCACTTGTAGTGCATTACCTAGAAGTTTTATATTTCATGCGCGAGTCCCGTGTGACTCTGCTGCGCAAGCGCGTTTAGCATAAGTTAGATTTTATAAGAAATGATTGTATTTGGGACTCAATAAACGACCGACGTACGATGAAGACGTATCTTTTCTTTACCCACCCGTACCATGCCTCATGGCGACCATGCCAGGATGCTAACAAAGAAATTACCCACTAAGTGAAAAACCAGTGCAAAAAAAAAACCAAATTCGGAAGAAAGAAGAAAACCTTATAGAAGAAAGAAGAAAACCTTACAGAAGAATGAAGAAAACCATATAGAAGAAAGAAGCACAAATTCTGAAGAAAGAAAAAAGACGCGCCCTATTTTGAAGAAAACAAAAAAAAAACCAAGAAGAAACGCCAGAAATCCAAAGAGAAATAAAGGTAAGTAATAAGGTAGTTTCCTTTTCCTTTACTGTTAGAAATTATATTTGTCGATTTTTTTCAATGTCACTAGCTGAACTAAATAATGTGTACAGTAGTTTAAAACAAATTAGAGATTATCTAGTGAAAATCGGACCAAAACGTAGAGAGAGTTCCGATACAGCAAAAGAAAAAGTTAGTGAAGCGAAAAATCTGTACAGTCGTTTGGAGTATATTTCGTCTAAAATCAAACTAAAAATAGAGAATTCTGAGATAAGTAGCGATGATTTTCAGGTTATTAATAGATGCATAGACGACATACATATCTTGTACAGTAATATTTTAAATTTAATGTCTCGTGAATCAGAAAGTTCCAATAACTCAGCCAGCATGGGCGCCTTTGATTTAAAAACGGCAATAGCCCTATTGCCAATAATGACAGGCCACGAAAATATTACTACTCAACTGATAGATAGTATTGTGATGTATAGTGATATGCTTAACAAAAATGGCAAAAAACAATTAATTGATTTCGTTTTGAAAACTAGACTGACCCCTATCGCCAAGCTGAGGTTAAAATCTAGCTACGAGTCCGTGAGTAGTTTGGTTTTAGATATGCGCACTCACTTAATTCAGAAGAAATCCGCGGTAGCATTGCAATCGCAGCTTAATAGCGCAAGCCAAGGCCGTAGGTCTATTGATAAGTTCGGCTCTGAGTTAGAACAGTTGTTCGTCAACTTGACTATAGCACAGGCTGACGGTGATGACAAAAAATACGAAACACTTCGTCCTTTGAACGAGAAAATTGCGATTAAGCGTTTTGCAGACGGATTATCAGATTCGCGTTTGAGCATTATCATAGCCTCCCGACAATTCCAGTCTCTTCCAGAAGCGATTCAAACCGCGCTGGACGAGAGCACATCATCAGCTCGTAACGAGCATGTGTTGAACATTTACCGCAGTCGTGACAATCAGTTTAATAGAAATAAAAGAGGCCCTAATAACGCTCGCTCAAATACTAATTATAACCATCAGAGAGCGCAAAGCGGATCGAATTCCAGGACATTTTACAGGGGTAACTCTCGAGGGCCCAATCGTGGTAGGTACCAACGGGGTACTTCGCGAGGCCGAGGTCGGTACAACCCATCTCGCCCAAATGTAAACGCCCGCGTTTCTCAGATACAATCGGAGCACATTGAGAGCGTGGAACGCAATCAATCTGCACCGAATAGTGAGTTTTTTCGCCCCTACAATTAGTGATCATTTCGTTTGTAATTATAGCATAAACAATGTAGTAGATTTAAATGTAAGTAATAATAGCAAGGTAAGTCTTTTAGTAGATACGGGCGCGAGCATTTGTGTTATGAAATATGAGTGGCTCCTCGATAACCAGGAGTATTTGAATGAGTTACATTATGATAAAATAACAATTAAGGGCGTTAGTGGTAAATTAATTTCAGACGGTTATATTTACTTAGATTTAGTTTGTAATGGCATAACTTTTAGAGAGAATTTTACGTTTTTAAGAATCTCTCTTGTTTTGCTAACGGTATTTACGGGCGATAATTTTTTTAAGCGTTATAATGCGATAATCAACTACGAAACACGAACCTTACAGTTATCGAATCAGGGTTCCGTAGTTTGTCTTAATATGGGTAGATGGAGTGATAGGTCACACGTCATACCCGCCCGTTGCGAAGTTATCAAACATATTCCTTACACTTTAAGCGAAGATAGCGTTATTTTAGCTCAAGAAATTGAGGAAGGGATTTTTATCGCAGGAATGTTAGCTAAACCATTAAATAAAAGTATTCCTATTAGAGTGTTGAATACGATAAATGAGGATATTGAGATAGATTTTTCAAAGGTCAATGTCCATTCCATTAGTAACTTCGAGGTATGCCACCTCGAAAGCGAAGAAAAAACTGTTGAGCGAATAAAAACTTTATTCGATTTACTTGATTTGAGTTATTTAAATAGGGAAGAAAGGCTCAGTATTGTACAAATCTGTGCCAAATACGCAGATGTTTTCCATTTACCAGGTGATTCGTTATCAGTTACGAACTTAATGAAACATAGCATAGTTTTAAAAGATAACGTGACCCCAGTTTATTCTAAGCCTTATAGGGTTCCTCAGGCGTTAAAAGGTGAGATAGAAAAACAAGTTCAGGAAATGTTAAAAAACGACATCATTGAGGAAACCGTTTCGGAATGGTCTAGCCCAGTACTTTTAAAAGGTCGATAAAAATAACGAAAGAAAATGGAGATTGGTCATAGATTACAGGAAATTAAACGATCGAATTCAAGATGACAAATTTCCGCTTCCCAATATAACGGAGATACTTGATTCATTGTCAGGCAGTATTTATTTTTCAAAATTAGACCTCTCCCAATCTTATTATCAATTGTCCTTAAATCCAAGTTCCCGTAAATATACTTCTTTTACATTAAATAAAATGTATCAGATTTCTTTAGATAATGAGTCACGAAAGTACACTACTTTTACGGCAGGAAAACAGTATCAAATGAAGCGGTGCCCAATGGGTCTCAAGACAAGTGCTAGTGTCTTTTCTCGGCTGATGACTATAGCCATGGCAGGCCTAAATTACGAAAAATGTTTTTTATACCTAGATGATTGCGTCGTAATCGGTTCTAGTATCGATATTCATAACAAAAATCTCATTAGCGTATTGAATCGATTAAGAAAAGTTAATCTCAAACTAAACCCAATTAAGTGCGAATTTTTAAGAAAAGAAATAGTCTATTTAGGTCATAAAATTACTCAAGACGGAATATTCCCTGATCCCAGTAAAATTGACACCATACGTAATTACCCACGCCCGACTTCTGCTGACGAAGTAAAACGACTCGTCGCGTTCGCCAACTATTATCGTCGGTTTATTCCACGTTTTGCTGATATTGTGTTCCCATTGAATGCATTAACTAAAAAAGGTATTAGATTTGAGTGGACTAAAGATTGCGAAAGTTCGTTTATTACATTAAAATCTGCTTTAACGAACCCTCCAGTGTTGGACTATCCCGACTTTTCGGAAAATAACACATTTCAGTTGCAGACAGACGCATCTAAGTTAGGCTTAGACGCCGTACTCTCAAATAGTAATGGAAAGGTTGTCGCTTACGCTAGTAGGAGTTTGAACCCGGCAGAAACTAGATATCCAATAATAGAATTAGAATTATTAGCTATCGTGTGGGCAGTCCGTCACTTTAGGCCTTACTTGTACGGCAGAAAATTTAAAATCTTTTCGGACCATAGACCCCTTGTTTACTTATTCGGTTTAAAAGACCCGTCTAGTCGTTTAACAAAATTCCGACTATACCTTGAAGAATACGACTTCGAAGTAGAATACGTCCCAGGGCGAAATAACGCAGCTGCAGATGCGTTAAGCCGACTCCCGGTGACGTCACGCGATTTGAAAGAAATGCAGGAAAAAGTAGTATCCGTTTTAACTAGAGCTCAAAGGAAAAAGTTAGAGCCCCAAACGGACACCGGACAGATAGACAAACAGCCTCCAGTTAGTAGCCCTGATCAACCT